ATTGCAGATAGCTGCAAAAAGATAATTTCTTCATCTTCCGTTTACAAAAAGTACATTGCACATGGAAAAAGATCAACAACTTGCATACACGAGACACGTCATTCATTCTTGTTTATGACAATTCTCTAGAGAGGCGACAACGTGTACTATCTTGAATATAGTGAATCAACTGCTATAAAATAGCTGCGTGCAAGTATTTTAATGGTACCGTAAGCCGCTATCTGGTAGATCAAGCGCGGCGTTTAGCATGCATCAACTGGCTTAACGCGTACAATCCTACGTGCTAGAACCTCTCTTGTGCTCTTTTCAAGTGACCGAAACGGTAAATGATATCATTAGAGTGCACTGACCCACGAATATCGAGATAGATTATCAACATACACATATATTTATATAAATGCCATCGAGCTTTTCCTTACAAAACTGTCTATCAAGATAATATCTCAAAATATATCTTGTTTATCGATTAATTGGTGAAATTAATTATCTCAATTATCTTCATACGTATCTTGTTAATTACAACAAAATTCCAATTTAAAATTTAAAATTAAATCAATGCTTTATCTCGAAATTATAATTTTTAATAATAATTTTCGAAATTAATATGGAAATTAGGACAATGTAAGAGGTTAAATTATTAAAAAATTGGTTTTAATATTCTTATCATCAATCTCTAATGTTAAAGATAAAACGAAGGAGTTATTTTGATCGAAGATTAAGTAACATTGTTTTTCTTCTCGATTACGAAATGGTTCGCTGTGCATGGAGAAACATTAGATTCTAATTCAACTACCTATCGTTCCAGCTACTTTTCCATTTTACTCGTCAATTATTTCAAACGTGAAACACGTTCCATCGGGTTTTGGCGTTGACTATCTGAAAATGGCTCGAGTCAGGAAGCGTGACATTGAACAGTAGACCATACGCGGTGCAAAGAAAATTTCTGGAATGGCATAAAATAAAATGTTTAATTATTTAAGTCATCGACGTAACAGAGAGATTGTAACAGAGTTTATAATATGGCAATCAACCGGATGACAAAGATGGTAATGAAAGAAAACGAATCCCGTAAATAGTATTCATTATCGACCGGTTAAACGTGAAATCCGAAATTAGCGATATCGAGACAACTTTGTTATTTTGTATGTTTGTTTTCTCGAAGAGAGAGAGAGAGAGAAAGGAAAAACAAGAAAAAACAACAAATTGTACGATGCGTGAACTAAGAACCTTTCACAGTCGAGATTTGCAAGGTGTAATTTTTAAGACAAGTTCTCCACTGTTTACCGGGTGAGCAATCGAACTGAAAACGATTACCAGAAAATTGTAGACTAAGTCGACGGGTAAACTAGAAACATTGCAAAGATGTGGGATAGAGCATGGTGATTATGTAACGTGGCATGGATGGATTAGAGTTCGATGAAAAACATATCAGCAAATAGAAAGGAGAAAAGAAAAAAAATAAATAAAATCTATTTCACGTATCTACCGCTTTGTAAAATATATAAAACTTACCCATGAAGATTTAGAATTAAAATTAAAGTAAATGTAATCGTTTAAAATAATCCTATTATTATTGATTATATTTATTATTATATTATTTAACAAGAGAATAAGAAAATAATTTTTTTAATTTCTAACTCGATTTGAATCAATTAGAATGATATGATGATATGAAAACCAAATGATTAATTTTTTCTGTTTGAAGATTAATTTCTTTAAATCTTTATTTAAAATCTAAAATTGTCATTATAATTATTTTAATGCATCCTCATTGAATACAACTGATTGTCATAATAGAAATTAATATACAAATAGATAAATTTTACCTGTGATAATTTAATTATTTCAATAGTTTTGTTAACGTCTAAATGATTTTTAATTATTAATTAAAGATTAATTTATAAGCAGCATTATTCCAAGAAATTTTTGACTTAATCTTGAATTAATGCATATTTGTCTCATAACTATAACATACGTCATATGTATATAATGTACTTTCCTGTTTCTTGCCAATTTCTCAGAATATCCTTTTCGTTTCAAGAAACATTATTAACGATAAATTCTACGCATTTTATTATATCAATTAATCATCAACCTTGTACTTTATAATTTCAATGACTATTAGCCTCTTAAAATGTAACTTTATTGAAATTATTCGTATTTATTGACCTTTCTTATCCGTAGATTTAATATTTAATATTTAAATTATTAAAACATTTAAAATATTATAGCATAATGAAGTTTATTTAACGGAAATAAAATTTTTAAAAAAAACGAAGACGAAAAGAAAAAATTAATTTCAATTCGCTTTCATTATCTATTTAATTTCATATAAAGCGATTCTATTTGTATTCTATTTCCTCATCTTTTATTATAATTGAATTAAAATATCTAATAGTTAATGATTAATCCGACTCATCATATCTTTAAACAGAAATTAAATCACTTTATAATGGATTTTAATCTAATCATTAATTATATTATAAATATTTGATTGCAATCAGTATATTTGGAATGATATTTTTTTCGTTTGTTTTTTGCGCATACAAACAAGGAAGTTACATTATGGATCGTCGATATAACGTGTACGCGTTTTTTTTTATTTTTCAACATTTGAAACACTGTTGCCCCCGTAAGTAGCAATAATTAATGTTCCTTATTATGGATGAATTTAACATGATATTGCTATTCTATATATAATTATTGATATTAATTATTAATTATTAATTAAATCATTTTAAAAGAAAACATTTGCATAACACACTTACATTTGGATAAATTTGGATAAATTTCTATTTTGTAAATTTTGTATTACAAAATTTTTCTTTCTATTAAATTCTCAAAATTGAAATATAATACCGACCTGTAAATAAGGACTTGCAGCTGAAAGAACCAAACGATGTGCCAAGAATTTTTGTCCACCAGGACAACAGAGAGCCACATCGGCAAATCTTTGAGACAGCATCGCTTCCTTTAGAAATTCTCCAACATCCGGTGCACGTCCAGAAACCCGGATCACTTCTCCCATCATGCTCCAATTTTTTTTACGGTAACACACTAATTTTTATATTTTTCAATCGATTTAAAACAGTTTGAAAAATCACCATGTATTCCAGTTTCTTTCCATAATAATATGTTTCATTAGCAGAAATGTGTTTGTTAAATGACGTCAATTAAGATACGATTCCATTTTGTTGATTCACGTTTCACTTTAAAAACACTGATTTCCTTAATATGCGTATGATCCATATGACGAAATGATCAAGAATTGTTATTTAAGTTCTTGACGTTATAAACGAAAATCAATTATCTGTAGAATAATTCCATATCGATGCCCAATATAGCCAGTGCTACAATAAAAAGAAATAAATTCTGATCAGATATGAATTCCAATAAAAAAATTTGTAAAACTTTCAAAATGATTCGATTATCTATTCAAAATCTAATGTATTATTTGTTCAAATAATACATTCCTATAACTTTTTATTCATATACGTTTTTCTTATAAAATGCAGCTAACATATAATTGATATATATAATATAAATTATATATTATGACTATTAATTTTAGAAAATTTTACTTACACAATTTAAATTTTATTAAAAATAAATAATTAAAATATATATAAAAATCTTTTTCATTCATAAATCAGAAATAAACGATAATATTTTAAAAATATGAACATGATTTGGAATATATCCTATATCCTATATATCACAAATGACAATATATATATCATTCGTTTATAAGTTTAATTTACGTGTAAAGAAACAAATTGCCTAAAAATTTCTAGAGTGAGATAACATCACTTTATATTATAATAGCAGAAATTGATGAAGGCTTATATTATTATTATATTAGTTTACTACTTGATCTAGCGGTTTATGCAGACTACGACTAATACCATTGTACTGTGAAATTAGTTTGTGGCCAAGAAATTGATATTCTATAAGATAACATCCTAGCAAAACGTAGAGCACATAAGTAGATTAGACCTTGTCATATGCGTGGTTGAAAAATTTCTCACGTGTTTGCGATTTTAATAGATAATAGTATATCACTTTGCATGTACTTATCAATTAGAAATAAAAATACATATTAATGCCAGTTGTAACATTGAAATAAACATATTATTTCTGTCTATTTATTATATTTAAAACAGAACATTATTAAATATAAATTTATTTATTATTATATAAATATGATAAATTCATTATTATTATGTATATACATTATTAATATAAAAAAAAAATTGTTTTTTGTTAATATAGAAAATAAAATTCATTTTTAAATTCTTACAGTTTCTAATTGTTATACTCTTAAGATTTTTATAATTAATAATTTTAAAAAATACTTTGAAAATTTTTATACTCTTAAATTCTTAAAATTTTTTGGAATTTTAAATTCTTTCTCGAT